GCCAGAGAACACCAAGATTGGCAAATTCGCCACTGGCACACGGTGCTCTTCACAGATGAAAGTAGGTTCACACTGAGCACATGTGACAGACGTGGCAGAATCTGGAGATGCCGTGGAGAATGTTCTGCTGCCTGCAACATCCTCCAGCATGACCGGTTTGGCAGTGGGTCAGTAATGGTGTGGGGTGGCATTTCTTTGGGGGGCCGCACAGCCCTCCATGTGCTCGCCAGAGGTAGCCTGACTGCCATTAGGTACCGAGATGAGATCCTCAGACCCCTTGTGAGAACATATGCTGGTGCGGTTGGCCCTGGGTTCCTCCTAATGCAAGACAATGCTAGACCTCAAGTGGCTGGAGATTGTCAGCAGTTCCTGCAAGATGAAGGCATTGATGCTATGGACTGGCCCGCCCATTCCCCAGACCTGAATCCAATTGAGCACATCTGGGACATCATGTCTCGCTCCATCCAACAATGTCACGTTGCACCACAGACTGTCATGGAGTTGGCAGATGCTTTAGTCCAGGTCTGGGAGGAGATCCCTCAGGAGACCATCTGCCACCTCATCAGGATGATGCACAGGCATTGTAGGGAGGTCATACAGGCACGTGGAGGCCACACACACTATTGAGCCTCATTTTGACTTGTATTAAGGACATTACATCAAAGTTGGATCAGCCTGTAGTGTGTTTTTCCACTTTAATTTTGAGTGTGACTCCAAATCCAGACCTCCATGGGTTGAAAAATTTGATTTCCATTTTTTCATTTTTGTGTGATTTTGTTGTCAGCCCATTCAACTATGTAAAGTATTTCAGAAGAATATTTAATTCATTCAGATCTAGGATGTGTTATTTTTGTGTTCCCTTTATTTTTTTGAATATATATATATATATATATATATATATATGTCCAAATGCTTGCACTCCAGTAGTCTTATATTAGAGCCCGGTGCTAGTAAAGCAAAATGATATAAACAGGAAAGTAGAAAATAGCACTCCAAGGACTTCATAAGAGTATGGTGAAAAAAATAACTTAGCTTTTATTCAGCTGTAATAGAACTGAAACGTTGATACTTTGTGGCAGTTGCTGAATAAAAGCTAAGTTATTTTTTTCACCATACTCTTATGAAGTCCTTGGAGTGCTATTTTCTACTTTCCTGTTATATATATATATATATATATATATATATATATATATATATATATATATAGGAGCAGTTATATATATATATATATATATATATATATATAAATATATATATTCATTCAGAACTGCTGCTACCAGTAGTCATGATGAACTGACAAGTCTATCATACATAAAAAGAAAACAAAGAAAATATTTTAAATATAACTGTACACACAGAAAAAATTATATATATATATATATCAGTTGTAAGGAGATGGCCTTTCAGTATGATAGAGAGGTCTTTATATATCATAGATATCTGAGATTCATCATGTCTTTGAATGAATATTCTGTGCCACTGAAATAGGTTATTCTATTTGCATTCCGAACAGAAACTCACTCTGTCAAAAATATAATTTTTTTTTTTTAATATATTGTTTTGCATCTAGGTGATCTCTGATGAACTCGGTTTCTTCTACAATTTCAAATTTGAGTCCATTGAGTCTTGTTATATGTGCTTCTTTAGATGGAGCCATAGTGACATCTAGTGTTGTAACTGTGATGATGACTGTAAGTTCAAGTCATTTTTCTTGTTTCCTTTTGAATTCTGCATTTCCAAAACGAAAACACTTTCTTTTACTCCTATCTATTTATGGTATTTGTTTACTGTTAAAGAGGAATTAACAAAATATTTCAATGGTTCACCTGCTGTGCAGATATAAGATACTCTGGACCAACTTTTCCGAGAGTTTTTGTGGACTACACTTCGTTACATTGTTACATAGCTACATAGGCTGAAAAGAGACGTGCCCATCAAGTTCAGCCTTTCTCAAAACGTTTTTTTTGCTGTTGATCCAAAAGAAGGCAAAAAAGAAACTTTTTTAAAGCACTTCCAATTTTGAAACAAACTAAGAAAGAAATTCCTACTTGACCCCAGAATGGTAGTCAGATTTATCTTTGGATCAAGAAGCTAATACCCTATAGTTAAAAAATAACATCACTGACTATTATGTTTTTGCTAGTATGCATCTGGCTGCTGTTTAAAAATCTGTACAGACTCTGAATAAACCACTTTTTAGGCAGAGAATTCCATATCATTATTGTTCTTACAGTAAAAAACATTTCCTTAGCCTTTTATTATTATTGTTATTATTATTATGTTATTTATATAGCGCCATCAAATACAATAGCACTATACAATGGGTGGACTAGAAGACATGTAATTGTAACCAGACAAGTTGGACGCACAGGAACAAAGGGTCTTCTTTCTTCCACTCTAAATGCATGACCTTTGTGTCCTATGTAAAGTCCTGTTTGTGAATAGATTTTCACACAATGGTTTGCATTGGCCCAGCATATATTTGTATAATGTTATCATATCCCCTCTGAGGTGACATTTTTCTAAACTAAAGAGGTTTCAATTTGTTAACCTTTCTTCAGAGCAAAAATGTTCCATTGCTTTTAATAATTTTTTAGCCTGCCTCTGCATTTTTTCTAGTGCCATAATATCTTTCTTTAGAACAGGTGCCAGAAATTGCACAGCATAATCAAGATGTGGTCTTACCAGTGATTTATAAAGAGACAAAGTTATATTATCATTCCGAGCATTAATGCCCCTTTTAATGCATGACAAAACCTTACTTGACTTACCCACTGCTGATTGATATTGCACATTGTTGTCTAGTTTGTTGTCTATAACAATTCCCAAATCCTTCTTGTGAGTTGTTATCCCTAATTCACTACCATTTAGGGTATACTTGCTTGTACATTCTTTACCCCAAAGTGCATAACTTTGCATTTTTCTACTTATATTTCATCTGTCATTTGAGTTCCCAGTCCCTCAATCTAAATCCATCTGCAGCCAAGTAATATCTTGCTCACATTGCATTACTTTACTTTCAATGCTTATTTCAATATCATTTATAAATATGTTAAATAGAAGCAGTCCCAGAACAGAACCATGTGGGACATCACTTACCACCTCTGTCCAGCTTGAAAATTAAATTTATTTATTTTTCTTACATTTTTAGTTTTTATTGAATTTTTTGCATAGGCAATGGGTAAACATTAGGGTACAGAAGGAAAAAGAGGGAGGGGTGAATAATTACAGTCTGTTCATCACAATTCCACATTTAGTCAATTTAGTCGCTTTATACAATGGATAGAATATACATTTTGTGCTACACATCGGAATAGTAACAATCAGGATGGTTATGTTTATGGTATTGACGGTAATGTCAGCCGTTTTCCCTTCTGCAGCTGGGACTCAGGTAAGGTGGGTATATGTGGCTTGGGTGTTTGTTTGTCGTACTCGGGAATTGTGCGTTCGTGGTTGAGGTGGGGAGGGTAGCGTGGGGGGGGGGGAAACAGGAGAAGAAGAAGAACTGGTATACCTCATTTGCAGCATTGAATGTTCAATGTGTGGTAGAGAGTTTGCAGATTAGGCGCATAGAAACTTATCCGTCCCTTCATCTATAGTATAATGGTACTCGAGTGTGACATCTGAGTGGTAAAGCTCACTGCATTGTAGTGTGTTGTGTTTTGGTATGTTCTGGCCACCCTCTAGAGTATTTGTTTGAGGTTTTTCACTGTAGTGTGGTGTGTATGCCAACTTGCCCACCTTTTAGTATATATCTCTGCTTGGCCGTCTAATCTGTACACAATACATTCATAAATCTGAGATAGTTTCAATTCTATTCCACACTTCCTGAGGGGAGGGGGTGTGTTTGTTTTTCCAATGGCTAGCTATACTAGTCTTTGTTGCTGTTAGCAGGTGTATAATGACGTGTCTATTGTTGTCTAGAAGCAGTTCTGGGGAGAGGTGGAGTAAGTAGCATTCCTGCGTAAACGGTATTTTGCGTATTGTTAATACTCCAATAGCTTTTTCTATCATTCGCCAAAGTCTGCTCAGTAGTGTAGTGGGCATTCCCAAAATATGTGCCTCATGCTTCCCTTGTGGAGATTGCATCTCCAGCATACATTTGGAGCTGATGGGTACATGTTCGCTAGCTTGGTAGGCACTAAGTACCACCTCATCAATATTTTACAATACGCCTCCCAATGGGTCAGGCTATGGGACACTTTTCTTGTAGCCTGAATTGTTTGCAGCCATATCGGAGTGGGAATGTTGATGTTTAGTTCTGATTCCCATTGTTCTATGTATTTGTGTTTGCATAATGGATCAGCGTCGTTCAGTGCTGTGTAGCAGAGGGATAGTGGTTTTAGTTGCGGTCGTTTGCCTATACAGTATAGCCCAAAATTTGTTAGTTGTGCTTCATTGCATATGCGGGTTTGTAGGGATTGGAGGATGTGTTTGGTTCTGATGTATGTGAAAACATCCCTAGAGGGAAGTGCATATTCCTGTTGAAGGACTGGGAATGGTCTGAAGCCCTCCTCTGAATATAGTTGTGCCACCGAGATTATTCCCTGTTGTCGCCATAGTTCCATATTGATATCTTCCGATAGTTCTGAGATTATTTGTATCGGGGCAAAGTATATAGTGTTGTTCGTGCCGGTGAGCGAACTTGCCCATTTCCTCCAGCTACTGATTAAGCATCTCGTACTGGCTATGGGTCTATGTTTGTTAGGTTCCCATGAGTTAAATGATCATAGCATAGAGTTTATTGTGTGTGGTGGTATGCAAGCATTTTCTAGGGGGGCCCAGATTTGGGGGGTAGTGCGTGATAGTGCGTCCAGCCCTTGTGCCAGGACTGCCGCTCTATAGTATGCCCTAATGTTTGGGCCGCCTTTGGTTGGAGACAGCCAGACGTCTGGCTATTCTTGGTTTTTTTTTTCTTCCTTATGTGTGCATTGATCATGTTCTGGAATCTTTGGAGCAATTTGTCGCCTAATGTTATGGGTATGGTGTGGAACAGGTACAGGATATGGGGTAATGCCATCATTTTGACAGTGTTTACTCTTTGTAGCCATGATATTTCTAGGTTTTGCCATACATCTAGTTGTGCCTGGAGTTTGTGGGTTAAGGGGATATGATTTTCTTGGATCAACTGGCTGTATGATTTGGTCAGATTATTGAAATTTAAATGACAACTTTATGTACTCTGTTTTAAGCCAATGTTCTACCCAAGAACAATAAATTTCATCTAGACCAATTTTTTTTTTTTAGTTTGAACACTAATCTATTGTGTGTAACTGTATCAAAAGCCTTGACAAAATCCAAGTAGATCAATCCACTGCAACACCATAATCTATAGTTCTACTTACTTCTTCATAGAATGCAGTTTAGATAGTTTGACATGACCTATATTTCATTGAACCATGCTGAATTTTGCTGTGAACCATGTTCTTCTCAATAAATTCATGAATATTATTCCTTAATAACCTTTCAAATACTTTCTCAGCCATAAACGATAACCTCACACTTCTATAATTTCCAGGCAAGGATTTTGAAGCCTTTTTGAATATAGGAACCACATTTGACTTCCTCTAATACTCCGGTACAATTCCTGAAAGAAAAGAATCTTGAAAGATTAAAAATAAAAAGTAATTTATTTCCATACTTAGTTCCTTAAGTACATGTGGATGAATACCGTCAGCCTGGAGCTTTGTTTATATTAACTTTCTTTAGTTTCTGCAGAACCTTGTCTTGAGTCATCCAATTACAATTTTTGCTGCAAGTTTTTTGCAGCAATTATTTGCATATCTATAGCCATAGGTTCTTCCTTAATATATACTGAGTAGAAGTGTGTAGAGCCCTAACATTTATCAAAGATGACTTAAGGGTAAACAAATCCACTACCAAAGGGTAGTACCTTCTCCCTCAAAATACACAAAGGAATATAACATATACTCACCTGTGTGAACAACGTCAGCCCATATTTATGAGTTCTGGACATTGCACCTTGCAAATCTTGGAAACAGAGGACTACCAAAAATATAGTGTTAAGTATGCTGCATTTATCCCCTTAGTGATCAGACCACTTTTCAATTTTCTTACCATTAAGGACCAGGGCTGATTTACATTTCTGCAGTGTTTGTGTTTAGCTGTAATTTTCCTCTTACTCATTTATTGCACCTACACATATTATATACCGTTTGTATTGCCAATAAATGGTCTTTCTAAAGATACTATTATTTTCATCATATCACATAATTTACTATAACAAAAACTTTGACCCCCAAAATCTGTTAGGCATCTACAACCGCCAAAAAACACCCATGCTAAATAGCTTTTTTCTGAGTTTAGAAACACCCCATGTTAACATGTTCTTAGCTTTTTTTGCAAAGTTATAGGGCAATAAGTACAAGTAGCACTTTGCTATTTCCAAACCATTTTTTTTCCAAAATTAACGCAAGTTACATTGTAACACTGATATCTGTCAGGAATCCCTGAATAACCCTTCACATGTATATATTTTTTTAAAGAAGACAACCTAAGGTATTAAACTTGGGGTATTTTGACTCTTTTCATGCAACCATTTTACCAACAATCTATGCCAAATTAAAAAAAAAATGGGTGATTTTTTGACACACATAGCAATTTAAGAATACATGTACTGAGAACTTTAACGGTTACTGCCAAAGAACACCCCAATATGTGTTGAGCAATATCTCCTGAGTACAGTGATACCACCCATGCATAGGTGTGTCAGGTTCTCTGGGGCTAAAACACCTTATTTGGAGGGTGCGTGTGATGGACCCTTCCGCCAACGGATGCTCCTAGTGCTCACCAAGGACCATCAGCACCACACCAGACACCATAAGCACTGTCTACCCCACAAACCGTCGCAGCTTGGTTGGGCTCTCGCCGTCTTCTGCCCACCCTGGACCTACGACAAGGCTCCAGGATCAGCTGTAGAGCTCTTACAAGAGCTAGTAGAATGCGAGGGAGTATAATGATTATAGCAATCCCTGTAGTGATAATAGCTGTTCCCTACAACACGAGACAAGGCTGTGAGTTGAGGGTAAGAAGATTTGAGAGTTTAATGGTACAGGTTGGATTTTTATACAACTTTTCAGGCCAGAGGAGCACCCACTGGACTTGATAGGGCACCAGGACACAAATTGTACAGACCAATAGAAACAATGTAACAATGCCTGACACTCCCACATACAGCACAATCCCTCCCCTCTGCCTGTGATACAATTAAGGTAGATAATGTATTAACGTAATTATCCCCAAGCATAAAAAACACATAGTTTACAAAGTCTCACAAGTACCCCAAAATACAACATATACCCATAAAAGTCACATCCCCTCATAGCCCTGATCTAGGTGAACAACATATCTATATCACCCAGATCACAGCAGGGGATCAAATGTTTTATGGAAGTCATATTTTTGCCCAGGCGCAGGCATGGTCCCATGCCCAAAACAGTTCCATAGAATTAGGCTGTGCGGCAGGTCTAGTTTGGTAGTTTCCAAACAAACAAACTACCGAAAGGAGTCAGTAGTCATACCATGGAGCTTGTTTCCTTCATCCAGACGAATGATCTCACAGAACAGTTAATAGATGATAGATGATGGAAGTCCAGCGGTGTTCAGGAGTTTCTGTATCCGATTTCAGTTCCATGAGATTCATGCCCAAACACCACTGCCTGCGTCCATGCGAACAAGATGGCCGCCACCTCATGGTTGTATATAGGAATTGCGTCCATCCAGATGAACAATTAGAACACTGTGGTGAGAAACATTCCAAGTGGTAAATAGGTGTTAACAAGCTCCAGGGTGGTCTCTGTTCGTGCGGTTGTTCGGTAAACGAACCTTATAGTCCCAATTGCCCTAACAGCGCCTGTTTGAAGTATATTAGCCAGTTCTATTGCAGGGTCCATAGTCACAGGGTTAAAGGCTGGCAAGTAGTCCTCTCCAAAGCCCAGTGGCGAAGTGGCTTTCGTCACAGTGCGCATTCCCGTTTTCCAACTTGGAATTTTCACAGCTTTTCACCATGCACCCATGTCCTATTTAGAACATTTTTGAAGCCGGCCAATGTAATTTACCCCATGAAACCATATATTTTTGAAAAGTAGACAACCTAAGATATTCAATATGGGGTATGTCCAGTTTTTTTTAGTAGCCACTTAGTCACAAACACTGTCCAAAGTTAGCATTTATATTTGTTTGTGTGTTAAAAATGCAAAAAACAATTATGAACGCTAACTTTGGCCAGTGTTTGTGACTAAGTGGCTACTAAAAAAGACTGAACACTCCATTTGCAATACCTTAAGTTGTCTTCTTTTGCAAATGGTTTGCCATCATGGGGGTAATTCTCATTCCTGGGCTATCATATGCTCTCAAAGGCAACATAACCAATCTGGCAAATTTCAATGTGAAAAAATGGCCTTATGTTTGACCCTGTAACCTTCAAAAACACTATAAAACCTGTACATGGGTTATACTCGGGTGACTTCGCTGAGCACAAATATTAGTGTTTCAAAACAGTAAAATGTATTACAACAATGATATCATCAGTGAAAGAGCCATTTGGGTGTGGAAAATACAAAAAAGTCACTGTCACTTACAATATCATCACTGTGATATGTTTTACTGTTTTGAAACACTAGTATTTGTGTTCAGCGAAGTCTACCGAGTAAAACAGTACACACCATGTACAGATTTTAGGGTGTCTTGGAAAGTTACATAGTTAAATATAGTGCTAGCAAATTTAATCCTCTGGACTTTCGGCCTGGCTTGTCAGGTAGGTCCCCCAAATTGCAATCAATAAAATGAATTAATTATGTAAAAATATTACATAAATATGCATGTGAAATTTAAATATATATACATTTTTATATATTTGAAGTCTATGTGTATATTTATGAAATTATTTATGCAATTATGTATATGAACATATGTATAGTTTGTATTATTTTTATTTATTTATATAAACATAGATATATAATTTAATATCATTTTATAAATATCAAAATACAGTTAGAATAAACTTAAATATATATATATATATATATATATATATATAAAAAAATACATGATATTAAATTATATATCTATGTTTATATAAATAAATAAAAATTATAATTTACCCCATCAAACCATGAGATGCAGGAATAGTTATACAGTATATATATATATATATATATATATATATATATATATATATATAAAACAAAAATAGTAATGCACTCCACCTTCCTTGATGTACTTGCCCGGTGCTTATCAGCAAACAGATACAGCCAAAAGTACAAGATAGCACTCCAGGGACTTCCAAGTTGAATGAATAAAACTTAGCTTTTATTAGCTCAAAATAAAAATCAACGTTTCAGTCTGTATCACAGACTTTCATCAGGATGAGCTTGCAAATCAAATCCATATCCACTGTATAGGTGCTATATATATATATATATATATATATATATATATATATATATATATATATATATATATATATATATATATCAAAATACAGTTAGAATAAACTTAAATATATATATATATATATACTGTATAACTATTCCTGCATCTCAAATATCAAGCAAAGGAGGATAACTGGACTGCAGAGGACAATGTCCAAAGCTCCTGTTACTGTTCTCCCCTCACCAGCACACCTAAGCTCCAAAAAGGTACATTATAAGTGCTGCATATAGGCACCCCTACAGGCAGGGACAGCCCGTCCATAAGACGGACTGGGGCCATGGCTCCAGGCAGCATTTTAACAGAGGAGCGGCATTTTGCAGCCGCGGCCATTAGGGCCCCGGGCCGCCTCTGCTGCATAAATATATATGTAGCAGAGGTAGCTCTCTAGCTCTCATCAGCCACTTAAATCGCCCCATGGCAAACATACAACGCAACACTCTGACCGGAGCTCGTGAGAACTCTATCAATTGGTCTGCAGCTCACACCTGGCGGAGATACAGACAGGATAAAAAATCCCACTGGACTACCAGGGAAAAGGTATGTCAATGTGGGGAGACTTATCACAGTCTCCCCATAGCCAGCACCTCCACAACCCGCCCCCTGCACCCTCCAGTCTGCCCCCTACACAACCTGTACCTTGCACCCACACAACCTACCACATATTGCCCCCCCCATGGCCTGCCCCTCCACAGCCTACCACATAGTGTCCCCCCATAGCCTGCCCTCCAAAGCCTACCACATACTGCACCCACATAGCCTGTCCTCCACAGCCTACTACATACTGCCCCCACATAGCCTGCCCTCCACAGTCTACCACATACTGCCCCCCATAGCCCTCCCTCCACAGCCTACCACATACTGCCCCTCATAGTCTGGCCCTCCACAGCCTGCACCCCACAGCCTGCATCCCAGCAGCCTGCCCCCACAGCCTGCATCCCAGCAGCCTGCCCCCACTGCATCCCAGCAGCCTGCCCCCCCACTGCATGGGGATACTGTCACCCCCGCAGCCTGCCCCCTCAAAATGGTCAATCACACAGCCTGCCCTGACAATCCCCCCCCACTGTCACATCAACTACACAAACAGGCATTGCATTCACTACACACACCGCATAACATAATGTATGTTGGCGTGCTTTTGGTGCGGGGGTGGCGGGTGGGGCAGCATTTCATCCTTGGACCCAGGCAACACAATATCTTGGATGCCTTAGGTCATAAATTCTATGGCACCACCTGGTTAAATTTTGGATCAAAGAAAGGGTTTGTTTAAGGAGGTTTGTTTAAATTTAGCATTAGGGGAAAAGGTGTTTAGGGTACACATGTGAAGTTTGAAGGGTTATTTGCAAAGTACTGCAGGGATGCAGAAACCTTTATACAGTGTGCATTACTCAGTGCTGTCCCTTCTCCTCCTGGAAGGCATTTCATGTGTTAGAGGCTGTTAATGGGCATATGGGATGTTTTCCCTTCTACTTCCTGTCCAGCTTCACACAGAAAACCATACACCTGGGACAACTTTGACTTTCACACTCTCTATAACTGCTTCTGCAAGTAATGTACCAAGGTTGAGTAGGGGTTCTTCTTGCTTCGGTGGGAATTTTACAAGGGGCATTCATTGTTTCAAATGGAAGAATGGAGCTGAGTATTGGTATGTTTTGGGGGTGCTGAGAGTTGTTTTCAACAAGACAAACAAGGAATTAAGGGAAGATGAAACAAAGAAACATAGAAACATAGTGTCAGGTATTTTACTGTCAGACATTTTGAGAAAAGAATGAAATTAAAAATGTATATTGTAAAGTCACCACTTAGCAGATGTGACTGCATTTTGTAACAAAATGCAAAGACAGACACATTTTCTTTTGTTTCTCTCTAACTCTATTCACTGAATAAATTCAGGAATGAGGCTAGTGTAAACACTGACCAGAGATAAGGTTTCAGTGTCTGGAACAATGGGGGTTGAAAAAGCCCAGCTCAGACACACACATATATATATATATATATATATATATATAAACAACAAGAAAAATACCGGCACTCAAGGAGTTGAGTGCCGGTATTTTTCTTGTTGTTTATTATTCAGCTACCAGGTATTTTTTAATTTTGTTGTTATGGTTGGAGTGCAGGGGCTATCTAGATTTATATATATATATATATATATATATATCATACATATATCAAAGATATATATTTGTGGTCAGGGCAATATTGCCATGGTGGTAGCATAACACATGATTCATATACAACAGTCGGTTGTGGTGTGCCGGAATTGACAATGCAGTAGGCCTGTAATAAAGAGGGCCCACCTTAGAGTGATGTGAATAAAGGGAGTGGTGGGAGGGGTAACTCGCCAGACCAACAATTTGGACCAATCACGAAATGCCTGTTGTAACTCATTAACTGGGTTTGGTATGTATAAGGTGAAAGCAGAAGATTTACAGTGCCCCATGGTTTTGATTATATGAGCTGGAATTTGGTTGGAGGAAGCAGATGATGCTGCCCCCTATGCGGAAAGAATGTCCTGAGTAATGACTTGCGTTTAAGCCTAGTCTTGTCAATAGTATACGTACATAAAGCATACATTTAGTGGTGGTAAGAGTGGAACCGTGTAATTCTATTAGTGGTTGATGGGGAAGTTTGTGCAAAGTGTTGAAATAAGTCTCCAAAACCACCATTTATTGGAGGTAGGGAAAAAGGGTATGTCAATCATGAGACCTCTTTGGCTGGTCTATAGGTTTGTAGATATTGGCCATTTTAAGGTAGTCTGTGGTTGTGATACTGATGGAGGTAAATTCCCTTGGACGTAAGAATCCATAAAAAACAAGATATATGGCTGTTTTAAGCACCATCTTGGTAGTATGTTTGAACGGAGCCATATCTAGGAGGTCAGATAATAACTGGAATATATTGTTGTTAATGGGTAGTCTTTTATGGGGTAGGTGTGAGTCTGATTTTTGGATTCCCTTCAGTAGTGTTTTGATCTGGTATGCCGAAAAGAATCCTGTGGTGTTGAGTGCCCGTTAAATACAGTTTGATAGTGTTGAAAGATAACTTTAAATTAATGTGGCAAAAAGAAGTGAACCCCAACATGTTCTCTAAAGCAAAAGTGTCCTGTATGTGAATTTCTTCCTGGTGGGAAAGCTTACGTGCGTTAGTCAATGACACGCTTAATCCAGAATCATGTCTTGGAAAGAAGGGGCAGGGATGGCCTGACTGAAAGCAGTGGGTAGAGTCTGGAGGAAGGCCTGAAAGTGAAAACGAAATAAGTGATCAGCAGCTATATTCGTGCCATCCGGAACGTGAATATAGGTGATGAAAAATTGTCTGGTGACTACCACCCAGGCGAATCTCCTTAAAAACCTCATAATAACTAACGAGGAAGACTGGCCTTTATTTACGATATGGCAAGTGGTCAGGTTGTCAGAATAACATCTGACAATAGCAGCGGCCACGATTGGGTAAAGTTCAAATAACGACGATGAAGTGGAGAAGCCAGGAACAGAACTAACTTCTCTAGGCCATAGACCCCACATCCTCTTGTTACCCCAGACGGCAGCGAAACCAGTTTTGGCCACCGCATCTGTCCAGAGTGTATGGGATTTATCTGTGATTGGGGGTATGAACATGACGTGTCCATTCCAGGAGGTGAGAAAAGTGTGCCACATATGTAAATCGGCCGTTGCGTGTGTGTCTAACGTGGTGCATGAGTTGTCTGAGGGGAAGTTTGGGAATAAAGAAAGTAACCTTGAGATAAAAGATCTATCTTGGGGACTGATCCTCATTGCAAAATTGAGCGACCCAAGCAGGGATTGAAGTTCCTTTCGGTTACAAGAACCTAGCTGTAACTTTAATTCAATACTCGCTAGGGCGCACCCAATCTTGTCCTGGGGAAGACTTGCTTGCCTGTGAACAGAGTCAAGTTGAATCCCCAGAAAATGTATGACTGTGTCCAGACCTTTTTTAGGGGAGCGGTATTACCAGAGATTCAAAAAGAGTCAACATATGTGTCAGGCTGGCAGGGGGAAGTGAGTTGTTTTCTATAGTGAGAAAATCGTCCAAATAGTGAATTACAATCGGACATCTGCAGACATTAAGTAGTAACCAACACAAGGTTTTGTCAAAAATATCAAATATTTTGGGGATGCTTTTAGAGCCGAAGGTGAGCCGGGAGAAGAATTTGACCAATAATATAACCCTTGCCAGTTAATGCCATGCAGATGCCAAAGTGAAGGGTGAATGAGAAGTAATTTGAAAGCATTGACAATGTCTGTTTTACTGAGCCATGCTCCTGTCCATGCAATTGTCAATTGTGGAGTATTGCAGTGAAAATTTGTCAGAGGCTATGAGGGAATTTAGACTGGGGACTTTGGAGGAATGTGGTGCTGATAAGTCGATGATTAGTCTGTGTTTATGTGATGTCTTACCTGTGACGATCCCAATGGGATTGGTTCTCCATGAAGAGAAAGGAGGGGGATTGAAAGGCCCTAGCATAAAACCATATCCTAATTCAATGTTGATAAGATCATCAACCAACTCTGGGTCTGCCATCGCTGTCTTCAAATTATTGCGCTCGAGCGTACCAGGTGGTAAGTGGATAATGCCTGTATGAAACCCTGTAAACAACACTTCAGTGAGACATCTAACCAAGTGTTGTCAGGGGTGGTGTTGTAGTAAAATAGGAAATAATGTGACATTGATGCAAGTGATGTAAGGTTTAAGGAATAGTTTATTAGGGCACATAGTTTTTGCATGTGCCCTAAAACAGAAGGCACAGACGTGTAGCAGTCTACAGGAACTAAACCCACAAGATCCTGCATTAAAATTATTACAAATATGGGATTTGTAATAATATCTCTACCCAGTTTGTCCTTCAGACCTTTAATTGGCTTGCAGAGTTAGGGATTGAGTGGCCATGTTCCACTACAGCTGAATTAGGGAATAGATTGGTGGAGTGTGCTGTGCTGTGGATGCACAAATCGTGGACCTGAGGCCTGCAAAATGCCTGCAGAATAGCTCAGTATCTAATCTGCTCCTGTAGATACTGTAGTTAAACTGAGCATGAGCTGTGGCCACCTTTGCAGAGAAGGAATGGTGGTAGTCATAGATGGCTGGACCAGCATATTTATGCCCCAGATCCACAAGCTTGTGCAAGTATACATCCAACTCAGTGGTGTATCCTGGTTTTGTGCTGCCCTAGGCAGGACAAAACTCAGGCGTCCCCCTCCCCCCCCGCACCACCCCCACCCAATGCTTCCCCCCCGCCCCACCTTCTAAATACACACACAGTCAGACACAAACACACACACAGTCAGACACAAACACACACACACACCTCAGTCACAAACACACACACACACACACAGTCAGACACAAACACACACACACAGTCAGACACACACACACATACACAGTCAGACACAAACACACACACACAATCAGACACAAACACACACACACACACAGTCAGACACAAACACACACACAGTCAGACACAAACACAAACACAGTCAGACACAAACACAGTCAGACACAAACACAGTCAAATGCCTTGTTTGCCTCGCGGCTAATACGCCCCTGATCCAACTCTTCCTTTTTCTCAGGATAAACAGAGCAGTACACATCCCTGTATATGCCAAAATCTAAAACAAATTCGGGTATGGAAATGTTTTATTTAACCTAGGATCACTAGCCCTCAGTACTACTGATATGTCCCCATACACGTATGTCCTGTTCTCAAGGACATCCTGGGAGCCTATTAGGAGCGAGACTAGGTTAACATACTTGCCCTCCAGGATATCTTTTTTGAGATTGGCTGGGACCAAATGCGCTGGGTTTATATTCTCTGGAATTTGAGATGGGACAAGAGAGTTACCCGGCGTGGCAGGAGGACCACCACACACTGGAATAGTGGGCCCCGCTTGCTAGATGAACAGACTGCTTCCAATTTTTCCAGTCTATCGCTAATCAGTCCAATGGAAGACATTAGTGTGGTGAGCACAGTGGCGTCTCTAGGATTCATTTTTAGGGGGGCACATGGAGGGCCAGGGACAAAAGTAGGGGGCACATATAACCCTGCCCATGCCGCAGTTTGACCCCGCCCCTGTCGCATGTTAAGCCCCGCCCCCAACACAATGTGTTTTGTTTTTTTAATAATACCTGGTGGAGGATTCATTATTTTCCACCAGGGATTATTAATAAAACAAACACATTACCCTTGATACAGTGCCATAGTTGCCAACATTTGAAAAAAATTTTCCAAGGACATTTTGCAGCACAGCTATCAATTACTGTCTGGGTATAATATCCCTGGACAGTCAGTGCTCCCTGTATAGTGCTGCTCTCTGTATAATACAGGTCTGTTTGTGTATAATATCCCAAGACAGAGAGCAGCACTATACAGGGAGCACTGACTGTCCCGGGATATTATACAGGCACAGGCCTGTATTATACAGAGAGCAGCACTATACAGGAAGCACTGACTATCCCCGGATATTATATACACACAGATCTGTATTATACAGATAGCTGAGCATATACCCCATGTCCCAATCTCTAGACTACTAGTACCTGTCAACAGCTGCTCCCAGACACGCGTAACAGGGCTAAAGTGTGCGGCAGCTCACACAGATGATTCAGCGGTAAAGTGCACTCGCTGGCAAAGCCACACTGGGAATCACTGGGAATCCAAAGCAGCCCTGGAAAAAAAATGTGTGCCATTCCTACAAGTCAATATATATATATATATATATATATATATTACTGTAAGCACACACGCTCACTGACATGTGCAAATAGGCTTACTGACAGACAAAACTCTCTGACTCACACACAAGCTTACTACAGACAAACTCACTTGTATAAACAGAAGGCTCACTACAAAGAAGTTCAGGGACACACACAAGCTCACTAAAGACAAGCTCACTTACACACACATGCTCACTAAATAGAAGCTCACTGACACACACAAGCAGTACCATTTTAACAGAGTTAAGGGCCCCTAGGCAAAGCAATGCACTGGGGCCCTTCCTACACAACAACTCACAGGAATTTTAATTATTGATAGACTGCAGAGTCCATACACACACACACACACACACACACACAGACTGCTGAGTCCATACACACACACACACACACACACACACAGACTGCTGAGTCCACACACACACACAGACTGCTGAGTCCATACACACACAGAGACTGCTGAGTCTATACACACACAGACTGCTGAGTCCATACACACATACAGACTGCTGAGTCTATACACACACACAGACTGCTGAGTCCATACACCCATACACAAACACAGACTGC